CTATGGTTAGTAACTTGAGTAAATCCTGGAATATCACTAAATAACGAAGCAAACTCACTTACCACTTGTCGGATTTTTTGTTGCTCTTCCTTAGGCAGGTGGTCAAGGTTTAACATTGGTGGTTCTGTTTTTTCTTCTCGAACTGGTTTCATCGTCAGCTTAAGGGACGCTTCGTTAAAATCCAGCGTTGCTTCTGCCTCTGAAAGAAAATCTATCCCTAAGATGATATGTGCTTGCAAATTCTTTACGATAAAAAAAACATAATCTTTACTTGCTCGTCCTTGATACGAACGTAATAACGGTAATTTACCTATGCACTTGCATCTTTCTTTCTCCCTGCGCAGCTAACACTGTCGTATTATCCGAATTATATATGCGGTATTTACGGAAAATACTTCCTAAAAAAATCTTCTGCCACACAGGAACACTGCGCGCCTGTATCCAGGAGTGCGGTGGCTGGGATGTTATTCACCAACACTTCAATCTTTGGAAGAGTCAAATTTTTCACCATCACTGTATTTAACTTGAAGGAAGAGGGGTTTTTCTTGGCCTTCGGATTCCCGTCAGCAGAAATCCGTTTTAGTTTAAATCTTGTTTCTTCTTTCCATGCTTCCTTCTTTTTCCACTGGCCTTCAGACTTTTTTTCTGGCTTACTATTGAACTGTCGACGTTCGCCGGTTGTTTTTGGATACTCGGGTTTCCTTGCCCACTGATTCGCTTTGCTTCCGTAGCCGTGTTCTTGACTTTGCTGTGGTCTTGGCGCACCAAATTGGCTTCGTTGCTCATACTGGCGTCTTCTTTCAATGTCCGCCGTTCTTCTACTTTCAAACTGGATTGCTAGCTCAAATAACTTTTCCAGTGTAGTCGGATTCCTTAATTCAATAAAGTCTTGTACTTGGGGAAGTAACCTCGGCAAAATCACTTGAATTATCTCAGGATCCGGACGGTTTCCATACAAGAGTTTGAAAGACGTGAATTTTTCTTAAAATAAAGGCTTGGAAAGATTTTCGATTCGTTTGCTGGATATATGCTGAAAAGTTCCGTTTCTAATCTTGCACGATCTCTTACGACAGGGAAGGCTTTTACTAAGGCAGTCTTGAAATTTTCGTAAGTATAGGTGGGACTTCCCGCTTGACCCAAGAGGCTTCTGCCTATACATTTGAACCAATTAAGCGCTTGGCCCCTCAAAGCGCTGGTAGCTAAGGTGACTTTCTGGAACTCATGCACTGGATACAGCATGAAGTGGTCATCCAATTTTTCCAAAAAACTGGTTACCGGTGAGTTTCCATTAAATGTTGCTTCTGGTTTCATCGATGCGCGCATGGTCTGGACGATGTAACCAAATCCTTCCAGGGCGGCAGCTGGCATTTCTGGATTCTGAGCCGCTTCTGCAGGCAGCACAGGTTCTTCTTGAAACTCGGCCATGGTTATTCTTCTTCGTCGGGCGCCACTATCAGGTTCTGTGTTCCTCCTTACTTGCTTTGGGAACATTAAATGTCCTGACTCGGAACAGGGAGCTTACTAAAGCTATGTTCAATAAATTTGGGAAGTAGACAATACACACAGGAAGGGTATACGAAACCCTTTATTTTTCTCTCTTTACAATGATTTCCGGACTTCGGAATACAGAGACCAACCACTTGTGGTCTGAACGTAAGAATATAAAAATATTAACTAAACTCTAACTAAACTAACTTTGGATTAATAAACAAGTGCCTACTTGAAGATTGGCCGTATATTAACAGAAAGCCGTATGTAGTACAGAGAACTGCTAACACTACGATACGTTTTAAAATTATCAAGAGGATTAAACCTCTGGCCTTGAAGGCAACCAGCAACCGAGTAAAAAAACTATGGCAAGCGGCCTGCTTCTAATAGCTCCTTCCTCTCTCTTGCTTGGCAAAAAGCCACAACTTAAGTACTTGGCGTTCGCAAGACAAATTTGCATAAATAAGTTAAAGCTTTTAATTCTGGCCGGAATTAGAAAATAAGAAGTGATAGTAAAAATTTAAAATAAAATAAACTTTAGTAAAACTTAAGATCCTTACAGCATCAGCTTTATCATTTCTTGCAAGGATGGAGGTCAACGATCCTTAGCTGTGGAGAATTCTGTGGGGAGATGACGCCCCTTTTTATCTAAGTGGAACTGCTAACACTCCTCAAATTTGGGCACCCGATCAATTCTATGCAGTTCAGGAAATCCCATTGCATTCAGCAAAAGTCACTGTTTGTTGCCGTAAACAGCAGATTTCATTAGTTGCCCATTCTTTTCTGAGAACATTGCTCTAGCAGAATCACACAGTATGGCTACCACACAAAGCTATCACGATATTCTGACTAATTTTGCCAGCCCACAACTTCAGCAGAGGCAATAGCTGTGTATCAAATAACTTTTACGCAACCTGGAGCAGCATCACACATTGGTCTATCGATACAGTGGCTTTTGCGCAATCGCTTTGCAGAAGAGAAAGTCATAAATCGCTTTTCTCCACTTGGATGTCCGCCTCGCTTCCCAGATCTAATCTCATGTGACTTTTTTGTGTGAGGTTATTTGAAATTCAAGGTCTATCTAGGTGGAGTCCTGACATTGACGACCTTAAATGACAACATATCACAGGCCGTGCTCAGGTTTCCTAGTGACATGTCACGTTTGATTGTCGGAAAAGTTGTGTACAAGATGCAGTGCGTGATCCATGAGAAAGGGGTCACTTTGTAAGATATCTATGCTCTCGCCGAGGAAGCGCTTTTATTGAATAAAGTTCTATGGGGCACTGAAATATCATCTTTTTAATCCTTTGGGACATTTCATTTGCTGCTTTGAAATGGTGTTGCACTGAAATTTCTTCTTGGTTATTGATTTGTCTAGTTCTCAGCTGTGTAGACTAGAAGATACATTTTCTCCAATCGGCAACTTTCGGAACTAATTTTTGGTTTTTACGGAATTTTTTTTTCATGCCATCATTAGTCCTCATACCAAATTTAATGACATCCCAGCTGACTGATCAAGCTACAGATTGCTCTGAGTAATGTCAGTTTTAAAACAAACACTCTGTACTTCTGAACACAGTATCTTTAAACATGAATAGCATTACTCGTTGCTACGAATATACTAGTAATAAATTTGTCTTCATAACGAGATCGGGAAAAAGGAAATTTTTCCACGCTTAAAACCTTTTGCTGTTTTAGGGAAGTGACAGACTAGATAAGTGAGAACAAAATTTTAAAAACGTGTGTTACATCTCAGTATTAGTTAACCATTATAAGAGCTATTTCATCGCTGTTATTGTTCGCTTATGCGTCAAACTATTACGCTACCAGCGTATCAAGGACTCTAAAGAGACTACTATATTCTAAAGTATTCATTTATTTAATAAAAACATCACTCAGGTATATAACATACAATTAATCTTCACTAAGCCCAACTAACTACAGAAACATGTTTACCTAATTCTAAGAATTGCCTTGTTGCCACTCTCATGAAACCAAACTAGCAACAATTATTAGTGGCCAAAAGGTAAAAGTAATAAGTATTGTAAAATAATAAGTATAAAATTAAAGTAAATACAAAATACAAACTACATTGTTTTGAAATCCAACATCCTCCCACCTTAAGTTGTTGGGAAACAACTTAAACCTTAAGTTGTTGGGAAACAACTTAACCTACTAGAAATATTAAAGAAAACTTAAATGAAAAAACATAAAAGAACTGAATTAAAGTCCAAACATTTATAAAGTCTATTCTTTGGATAGTCCTGACTTCTCATCCACTCCTGGTTTTTTATGCAGAATACTTCTGACCAATTTCTGTATTACTGGTGGTGCTTTTGATATGGAAGAGAAGGTAAATCACTTTTATCATATGAGTCATTTTTCAAATAAGAAACATATTTCTACCACATTCATCACTCAGAAGATGAATAGGAAAGGCTTGTGGATAGTTGGTGAAGGCACCAGGAAGTAAAGGTTTTTGATCAGCAAAACAGGACATAATAAACCAACTGGATCGAACACCTTATGAGCGACAGAAAGAATTATTCTTTTGGTCAAAGTTTCGAATTTATAGCTGTCTAACCAGTCCAGATTTATCATCAGCGTATCCTTGTTTCTATCCCATAAAAGTCCTAATACAGAAGTAAATGGTTCAGGACCATTATCATTAGTGTACTGCCAGCCTCTCAAATTGAATTTTCCCTCACTCAGTATGGCTTGAGACGTTTCAATGAAGGGTAATATATCACATGTATCATTTAAGCTCGTTATTAAATTATCAACATAGAAACTCGAAAGAAGAATCTTAACATAATCTTGATTATATCTGGCATCATTCAAATATTTTCCCAAATGATAATCTAAAACTGCTCCCAAAAGAAAAGGGCTGCTCTTTACACCAAAGACCAATCTGTTGTGTTGCATTACCTTAATTTCTTTACAGTCGCTATCATTCCACCAGAAGAATCTCAAATAGTTTCGTTCTTCCGGCCGAACGCTCACTTGCAAAAAGGCCTTTTCAATATCTGCAATAACACCATATTTAATTTTTCTCAAATGAAATCTCAGACTGGAGACTTGGAATGAGTTCTAATAAATTGGGACCGGATTCTAGACACTGGTTCAAAGATGGAGATCCAATTTGCCTAGCAGACACATTCGAACACTGGACGTTACTTTGGTAGTACCATGTTCCTTGACTACAGGTTCGGTGAGGAAGAAAGTGCTGGTGTGAATCATGCACATCTGTGACATCATCTATTATTCTCAATTCAGTTCCATTGCTTAAAGACATCATCATAGGTATCAAATAATTTTTCTGAATTCAGCTTTTTTGTTGAGACTTGAAGTCTTCTTATCGCTATATCTTTGTTGGTTAGGAGAGGCAAATGATCGTCTTTCCACGGTAAGGCAACTTCGTACCTGCCCATCATCATTGATTCGTAGAGTCTCTTGAAAATATTTCTTTCGTAAGAAATTCCTTTTCCTTTCGTGATTTTACTTCGACTGGATCAGATATTCCTAAGATGTCTAAGGAAAAAAAGGTCAGAAATATTGGCATCTTTCACAAACATTGTTACAATCGTCATCGCCGTATCTTCCCTTTCAGCATTCACTGATGTTTTACCAATCAATGTCCAGCCCAGGTAAGTTTCTATGGCTACAATACCACTAGAAAGTACTATTTTTCTGTCGGTGAAAAGTCGACCAGCCACATCTGCACCAATTAAAAGATCAATAGGCCCTGATGAATCTTCAGTGTCATAAAATGGTATATTCATGGACCTGAGATCTTTAATCCATGTCCCATTTAAGGCAGAAGGTACAGCATCACAAATTGTATCTTGCTCATAAATATCAAAAGTACAAGTAAAATTATCGTCTATACTCTTTAGCTTAATTTTGTAGACATTATGCACATTTTCAGGTGTTCGTTCTCCTCCAAAAAGGGCGTGGTTTAAAATCTGTTGTCTAGAAGGTATCAGGCCTAGAGAATAAATTAAATCCTTCCTTAGATACGATTTTTTAGATCCTGTGTCATATAAAGCTCGAACACAAAGTGTACAATTATTTCCAATTATTTTTACCTTCAGGGTTTGCAAAAGTACTTGTGGTGTGTTGCTAACGCTAGAAAGATTTACAGAACTTTCTTCCTTGCTAGTTTCTTTTTCATTGCTGTTTAATATAGGCTTCTTAACATTTGTTTTATTTTTAAGCAATTCTAAACACATAATTACGCTGTGATTTTTATGGCAAATTGCACATTTAATAGAACTCCTGCATTTATTTGCACAGTGACCAGCCTTTAAACAGCGAAAGCAGTGCCCTTTATCTTTTAAGAGTTTTTGCCTCTCTGAAAATGTCATTTTTTGAGCTTTAAAACAATTAAATGAATCATGTTTTCCGCTGCAAAACACGCACTTCTTAGCGGAAGAATCAGTACTCAATAAACTTGCTGCCGTTGATGGTCGATTCTGAACAGTTTTAATAGATTTAATCCCACAGGTCACTTCGTTCTTCAAACCATAACCAGCCATAGCTAAACTTATGCGTTCTTCTGATTTCAAACATTTTAATAAACTGTCCAGTCTACATTTTGGTTCTAGATCATGGTCAACATTTGCACTTCTTTGATAGTCTCTTAAAAAATCCTCGAGCAAGCAAGATTCAACTAAAGGATAAAGTAATGCAGCACTTTTATCTGTAGTGACGCCAAGGGTTTCCAGAGCCCGAATTTGTTGTTCCAAATTATCATATAATGCACATAAGTTATTACAGGAATTACTAGAATTTGCATTTTTCAGAACCAATTTCAACAATTCTCTCACATACACTTCCACTTGCAAGTCATTTCGACCAAAACGAGCCTTCAAACATTCTATGGCCTTGGGATAATTAGCAGATGTAGGGGGAAAACTTTCTATAACCTCCCTTGTACGCGAACCCTCAAAAGTCGCTTGTAATAAATATTGAAATTTATCACTATCAGAAATCGTAGTATCTTTGTCAATTTTTTCAAATTGACTCCAAAAAAATAACCATTCCTTAATTTCCCCCTCAAATTTTCGTAATTCAAGCTTCGGAAGTTTAAATGTACGCTTACATACATTCTCATTAACAGATTCATTCAAAATTAAATTTGAAGTACTTACATTTTGTAGATTCTGAAGAATATCTTTCACTTCAGTTTCGATTCTAACGGCCTTGTCACGATAATCTTCAATAATATCGAATTCTACTTCAATTTCGTTTTCGGACAGTGTGCTAAGATAACGTACGTGCGTATCTTCCAAACGTTGAGCTTTCGAAACAAAAAACATTAAGTTCCGACTGTAATTCAGAAGAATTTATATCACTTTTCTTTAAATTTCTTCTAAAACATTGAAGGCTTTTGTAAAAGCAGCTCTGTGAATCTTCTTTTCAATTTTAATAGCTTCTCTAGCTTCCATTTTTATACTTTAGAATTCAAAACTAACGTCTCTTATGTCCCGCCGAGGGTACCACTAAAATGTTCGTTATGCGTCAAACTATTACGCTACCAGCGTATCAAGGACTCTAAAGAGACTACTATATTCTAAAGTATTCATTTATTTAATAAAAACACCACTCAGATATATAACGTACAATTAATCTTCACTAAGCCCAACTAACTACAGAAACATGTTTACCTAATTCTAAGAATTGCCTTGTTGCCACTTTCATGAAACCAAACTAGCAACAATTATTAGAGGCCAAAAGGTAAAAGTAATAAGTATAAAATTAAAGTAAAGTAAATACAAAATACAAACTACATTGTTTTGAAATCCAACAGTTATCACTGTAAGCACAAATGGCTATGTGGTTTCATTTAGATAAATTAAACATTAAATAACAGATTATCTCGTACAACAGGTTATTCTTCTCAAATTGTTAAAGGATGAAAAGTTTTTGACACCAAATGTTAACTTGTTGTGTAAAAAATATAAGTAATATAAATATTTATATATATGATATAGTGCATTAAAAGTACAAATTTTGTTCTTTACATAAAGAAATCTTTGTGAATCTAGCGAAAGGAAATTTTAAAATTAAAACTTAGTAAACAGAGTTTGAGAAGTCTTTCTAACGCATACAGTTTTGTAGGATTAATGTGTTTGCGCTGTATTCCTTCATCTCTAAAAAAAAGTTAAGGAATTAATTACTTTTGAAATAACTATAAAGTACGTATGTGCTGTTGCATGTGCTGCCATCTGTTAGTTACCGTGCTAAACAATTTCGATAGCACGAATTTTTGCTTCAATTTTCGTGTAAAAGTCAGGTAGCAGACAGTTAGAATTATGATTAAATACCTTTGCAATAAAATGTTTTCTTTGTGACTTTCCTACATTCTCTCCCGCAAATGACTTGGAAACCTGACTGTTAGAAAATTAAACAAAATACAGGAGACTTTTGCAATTCATAGGTATAAAGAGAAATTTCAGAAATGTTGATACGGATAGTTTACATTATACATTTATTTTCAAATGGGGGTAAAGCGAATTTGTTAAATATTTCTAAATGGGCGTAAAAATTGGAATACTTTATGACACCTATAATTTTAACTGTCTATGAAATGAAATGTGGCCTTTATCTGTCGTAAAATTTAAATCGGAATGTAAGGTCTTTTTTTTTTTTCGTAGAAATTCGATTATATCTGATATATATATATAAGCGTGTGTGTAAAAAGATTACGAAATTAATTCGAAATTCAGTTTAATTTTTCTTAATAAATCGAATCTTTCATTAACTGATTTTTTTCCCCCTATCTACAGTTATTTGGTTTCCAAGTTTATAAAAGTTCGACTGTGTGCAAAACATTTCATTTTACTCAATTAATTATTTTAGAAACACAGTAGCGAAACAATTTCTATTTAAACAACGCTTTAAAATAAAAAAAAAATTGGCGAATATTTTTTAATAATTTTTTTTTTTTTCAACTTTAGTGTGTTATTCGTATAATATATGTTACTCATGTTAACTAGTAATAGCTACTCATATTTTTCATATAACTAGTTATTTATACCATAGTTCTTTCTTAAAAATATAAAGATTGAAAAAAGTACAGTATCAAAATCAGTCTTAATTTGGTACTGTTCTGTTATCGTGACCGGATTCAGAAATGCATGAATACATATCATACATTTCTGAATCCGGTCCTGATAACAGAACAGTACTGTTAATTTTCCCATATTTTATCATGAAAATGTTCATAAAAATGCAAATGTTAAAGAAAACAAGCAAATTTAAGCTTTAATACGCCTGTGAAATCACGAAATTATCTGAAAATAAATTGCTATCAGTTCTCAATTTTAGCTGAAGCAGCTCCATGCATTGCTATTTCTGACAGAATTTATTTTTTAAATGAAGAGCAGCAAACGTCAGGATAAGATGAGCTTTCACATTGGTTTGCAATAACTAAAATTTTGTTATATAAACATACAGGTAGAACAAGTAGTCATAAACGTACAGGTAGAACTGGGCAATAGAATTTTACCATTTAGTCGCACAGTTGTAGTTCCTCTGCACTAAAGGCAGTATCAGTATAATAAGGAGCAAAATGATTTAATTGTGAATTAAAAAATGATTTAGTTTCTTACTTTAACTCAATTACGTTTTTTAATAGACATTTTTATTGCATGGTTTCCACTAATTCCTGGAAAGAGATTAAGAATTTTGTATTATAAACAATCCAATTAAATTAATAACAAAGTTAATGACACCATTTTATTCTCAAAACTGCTGCGGTTTCGTAGTACAATACACATTGTTTTCTAAACATATTTATTTTTTGTACTGATGTTGATTTATATTTGCGGTATTGAGCCTGAAATACTAAAATTGCTTAGCAAATACCACGTAGCCAACATCAGTAACACATCTATCCATTCTCCGTTTAACTTGGCGTCCACTGTCTCCCTTTAACTTGAACTATAGGTTTAAGCTTTTACATCGCGAAGGCTTTTCAGAGTCTACTAAATGAACCTGAATGATACGGCGGTTGCAAAAAATTTGTTTCAGCAGATCTAACGCACTGAAGTCCATTGGAATGATATCAGGAGATTAAACAAAGATATTTACAACGAAAACTAATTTAGTTGCAGGGACAGGAAGCTGTGGATACGAGCCACGTGAGTAAATATAGTATATATACACAATCAAATGTAAGTAGGTAGAATATACCGGTTTGGAGCCACAAGGCGATCGGGAGGCGAAGGCTTCTGAGGTGCTCACAGGAAAAGAATTTGTAATCCCTCCCCTTACAAATTCTTTGTTACAGGGGAGGGAATTTACGGAGGAGCACGTGCGGGTTCCTACTTCACCAGCTAGGAACGCATCGCATCCTGTTCATGACGTCATCATGCATTATCCATGGACCTTATAAGAAATAGACTAACCCAGTGGGCGGGGTGCGCGTCACCGACATGTCCCCAAGAAAGAGTAGGGACGATCTGGTTTACTTTAACACTGAAACCTATGGCGTTTGTATCGCATAACTGTTTTTAATTATTAAATGTGATACGCTGTATAGTGATGAGATTCTGAAAGTCACAGTTTTTTTTTTCAAATAGGATTTAATACTTTACTGCGTTTCGCGCATTTTTTTTTCACGTGTAATTCTTGTACAAACATCTTTACTTTGGTAAAACGGTAAAAACTCCTAGCACAAAATTTAATTTGGCGTAAAAATGAAGTAAAATTAAATAAGATTGATAGTACGTGATGCTTTGAAATAAATAAGGTAAAATTAAACAAGATCTGATAATTTAAAAAAAAAAAAAATTAATGAACATTATCAGGCAGTGATTTTCAAAACTATAATAACATTACAAAACGATTATTTATTTGATTATATCATCATTAAATTATTAACATTAAAGTGGATTATTTATTTTAGTAATTTATAAAATTCGGAGTATAAAATTTTCTGAATGTAATGAAGGGGGAAAAAAAGATAAAATAAAAAAAATCTAGAAGCACTCAGATTTTATATTACGTCCAAAAGGAACCTTTTTTTAACGTTTTGTGTGTTACCTATATTTATTGAATATCATGTTCTTCGCCCGTAAACCACATACATTTATAAACAGCATATCTTTAGAATTTCCGTACTGGAGATAAAAATGTTATTTTCTATACAGTGTTACCATTGCTCGCTTTGAACTGGTTGAGTTGTTAATAAAAAAATTCGTTAAAGTTTTACAAAATATGAGATAGATTAAAACAAATTTGAAATTCGACCGTACACATGCCCATGTTCGGGTGGAGGATTACATTATTCAAAATTTGATGGCTCTAGATACCGTCGTTTTTGTCACAGTGCGAGAAACATACTCATGCAGATTCTTCATTATTTAATGAATATAATCCATAACTTTAAATATAATACAGGGCGATAATATTTAGTGACAACAATTTGCAAGGAGACACGGACATTTATAGAGAAACAGCGCAAAATGCCGTTTCGAGCTAATAAATTAAATTAACAGTATATAAAAAAATCTTATGCAGAACTAAAAATAAATTAAAAAAATAATCACTATAAAATACAAGCAAAATTAATTATTTACGGTTAAATACAGTTTTAATATTAGAATTAAATTTATAAAAATTAAGGAGTCAAAAGTGTTTATCACTATGATGTATTATGAAATAAAGTAGAAATCAAATTCCTTTATAGAAATTGTGCTATAATTCTCATCTATAATTTTAAAAAAGCAGCACAATTTAGAATTTTAAACAAAACTTTCAAAAATTCGTTTTTAAATATTTTAGTATATTTTATTTATTTAGACCAATAAAAAGCTAAAAATTGCAAAAGAAATTTGCTTGTTTGAAATTTTCTACTAGTTCAGATTTAAAATATTATTTTCTAAAAGAAGTAGTTACAAATTTCCCTACAGCATAGGAAAATCTAAAACATTATCAAGCCCTGAAAGCATGCAATAGCTTTATAATTATTTGCAACGCTAATTATGCTTGAGAAATATGCTAATTTTTAAAAATTAATCTCAGTTTCAAAAATAAAAATATGGAGAAATTGTAATTTGTGAAATGAGGCGCTACAACCAGCTTTTTCTTGACAATTGTACTCGCTGCAATAGGCAATCACTGTTAAATTTCTGCAAGTTGTCCTTATTACTTCGTATGTGATCAAGGTGACAGCCGGGAACGCGTCAGACGAGAGAGAAAACCCATTTGGGTTGGTCTATTTCTTATAAGGTCCATGGCATTATCACCTCGGATTATCTTGCTATTGCTATGTTAGCCGCAAGTTTCATCCTGTTGTAATCCGGTTTCATTT